TAAATTAGAATTATTTTCACACAAACACACAATTATCAACCAGCACATGCATAAACTACAATTATTTTTTCACAAACACATAATTATCAAACCTTCTTGTCTTAGAGTATTTCTAATGTAAGTTTCAACAAATAAATTATTAGTTTTTATTTCACTTTAAATGGAATCTATCATGTCATATCACTTTCAAGTAACTCATTATATTTTTACACTTTAATAGATAGTTTTTAAAAGTATTTTGCACTTCACTTTTTGATAACTAAAAAAATATTTAAATTATTATAAATAAATATTAATTTAGTAAAATGTTCATTCCCCCACCGACATCATATATATATATATATATATATATATGAGGGGGATCCGTTAACTCCAAGAGAAAGTTTACTTAAACTTATTTTGTTCAATATTTAATGTTCTACATCAAATTTTAACGATCCAACCATTAAATTTAAAATTCTTAATACATAAATCAAATCTATAAATTTTTAAAAAAATTCGAAAATCATTTGATACTTCGTTTCATTAATTCAAATCAATGTATAAAATGATTTTATGATTATTTGTTAATTTGAATTAATGAAATGAAGTATCGAATAATTTTCAGATTTTTTTAAAAAAATTTAAATTTGATTTATGCATTAAGAATTTTAAATTCAATAGTTAGATCATTGAAATTTGATGTACAACATGAGTTATTAAACGGAGTAAGTCTAGGTAGACTTACTCTTATAGTAAACGAATCTCTCTCTCTCTCTATATATATATATATATATATATATATATATAGGGTTAAATATGTTTTTAGTCTCTCAAATTGAAGACAAATTTGTTTTTGGTCCCTCAAATTTAAAACTGCTGTTTTTAGTCCCTGTAATTTTCAAAAATCTTGTTTTAGTCCCTTAAGTCACCAATAACATATTTAAAAATGACTAATTAAGACAGTTATGAAATATCAATCAAATTTAATGTGATATTTTCACTAATAGAAATACCAATAGGTAGATTTTATGTAATAATGTTTGATAAATTTCTTAACAAAATTTGAATATAAGGACTAAAATAAGATTTTTTGAAATTACAGGGACTAAAAACAATAATTTTAAATTTGAGGGACCAAAAACATATTTACCCTAAATTTGAGGGACTAAAAACATATTTAAGCCTATATATATTACTTGTCCAAACTATTAGTAAATATACGACTCTAAGTAATAGTAGTTCCATAACTAGTTAGTGATCACATAAAGTATAGTGATTATACCAAGTCTTACATATTTAGAATTAGATTCAATATTTATTTTATTTTTTTATTTTATATATATATATATATATTTTACTTTTTTTATAATATTTTTTTGAGGGATAAAACATTTTTTTTACACTCAAAGATATGAAATTATTAATTAGAGTGAAAATAAAGTCTCAAAGCAATACGTGTGTTCTTCTAGTGATTAATTTTTTTTATTTAAGAGACATTTATTAAATAAAAACTAATTCATAGTAAATATAAAAAATTATTTAAATTATTAATTATTGAATCTCGTTATAAATCACAACTTAATCCAAATTACATATCACAACTAATGTTTGTTCGTTCCATTGGTATTGTAGTTGTTCTTCAAGTTTCAAGATCTTTAGTGTGAGTTTACAATACAATAAAAAAAAAATAACTCTACAAAAGATAATCTTAATATAGTTAAGATTATGAAAGAGATTAATTTTCGACAAATTCATAAATACTCTTGTCAATACCATAGTGGAAAAAAAAAATTACACATCACAAAACATATATAATTAAAAATAATGTCATGTTCTCTAGAAATAAAATATATAATCATAAAAAATTGAATAATGTTATAACTTTTGAGGTTAAAGTTTATTTTAAAATAGAATAAAAAAATATTAGTATAAGTTTAGTATGGTCGAGGGTTGGTTTAATTTTAAATACGAAATAATATTTTATATAGATACGAAATCAAAGTTGTCAATTAAAAAGTGGTTGTGATACTTAACTTAAAGATTTCATATTTACCGTTGATTTTTTTTTTTCTCGGTATTTATTGGGTGTAATCTCTTATCTATTATTTTTTTGTAAAAATAAAAATAAAAACATCGGACGTTTTTGTCGGGATATATATCCTTTTACTTCTGTTTTTTTATACCTTGATGTTTACACTATATATATATATATATATATATATATATGTACATTTGCTATTACAATAAAATAAATTTTTAGTAGTATTTAATATAATTTTTAGTAGTAATAAAAATTGCTACAAAATCTTTTAGCAGTATTTTCACAATAGTTATTGTATGCAGTGTCCTTAAAACATTTAGCAGCAATTATTTTGAATACTAGTAAAAAAATTTATAATGGTCGAAAAAAGTGTATAACTTTTTGTGACATTTTTTACTTTATACTCGATGTGAGACTTGTAAGATAAGGATTTTCTTTTATTTATATATTTTTTAATTATCTTTTCTCCTAATTAATTATTTTATCAACTTAGAATAGTAAGTTATAGGTTTAACTTAACTCTATAAAACAAATTTGTAAGGTGAGAATTATCATTCATATACTCTTTAATTATCTTATTTCTAGTTGATGTAGGACTTAAGTTTTTTCAAATAAATAATTGTTGTTAATAATAAATTTTAGTGTAATATAAATACATTTTTAGTAGTTATTATATATTAGTCATTAATATTTTTGTTAAATAATAAAATAAAATTAATTAATTTATTGTCACTAAATAATTGTTGGTAATAATCAATTTTGTTGTAATGTGTATCATGCTTCCTCCCAAAGTATGAAAATATATTTTCTAAATTCCCTTCACCCATTTCTTATCTTCTTATGGAATTCCTGTAGCCACTAATTAATCTCATTCACACATGCCCTGCATCAAGTCCTTTCCCCACTTCACCTCACTCACAAAAAATCTTTAATCCTAGTCCCCATATATGGTCTTATCTGAACCACGTCCGGGAAACTGTTAAAGGGTCACTATAATTGAATTTTGCGTTTGGAACTTTGATAATTGAAGTGGTTGGGTTTAGTACCCTTGTCCTCTAATATTATTAAGTCTTTCTTTTTCGCTTATAAAAAAATAACCTATTATAGGGTTTGGGAGAAATAGTGAGAAAAATCAAACATAGTGATCTAGAATCAGAGTATACGATCGAAGAAAAATTGAAATAGCTAGTGTGAAGCGGAATGGAAGAGTGTAAAAGCAAGTTGTGGTTTTATTTAGATAAGAAAATTCCTTTATCTTGTAATTTCAAGTAATCAAGGGTTTTTTTTTTTTTTGTTTTGCTTTTTTTATATTTTTTTTTATGAAGTTTCAACACGTAAAATGGTAGAAAACTAAGGTATAATATATTTGACAGAATTAATATTGGGATCATGTGTTATTGATATTATGTTATATATCTATTCATATTGCATCGGTAACTATTTTGAGATAAAATGATAAGATTGTATCATATGTTACATAATTACCTATACAACTTATTTTAAAAAATGTTAAAAATTAAAATTAACAAGATTTTTAAAATAAATTTATATTACATTGTACTATTGACAAAGATTAAAGATGTTTTTTCACCTTTACAAAGTAATTTAGGATGGAAAATTTTTTTTTGAAGCCAATTAAGGGTGGAATTGAAGAGTCTGAAATTTTGTTAGCTTTCATTCGTTTAGCTCACGATTAGATGGGAAAATAATCACCTTAATTGCATTTACTGTGGGACACAACATGATCGCAATGTTTGCGGAAGACTTGCGTAACGTGGAAGACTTAAAAAGTAGTACTGCGAAGAAAAGTTTGATTCAACTATTTATGGATTTTTGGTATTACTTTTTAAATGAAATTTTATCTCGATGAATATAATCATCATAATAAAAGTTTATATTAAAAGTCGATTGAACATAGATTATTAAAGAACAGATTAAAAATGAAATTTGAATAAAAAAAACAACTAAAAGTATTGAAGGATCTGCATCGTTTTGTCCATTTGTAAATGATGTGTTTTACTGTATAACTTGTAACAATAATTAATAATCTTTCAAATTCATCAACGGTTTACAGATGGCTTAAAATTAGGTCGTCTGTCACAATCATTTAGAGTGCCTTTGTTCATCAATTACCATTATTTTAAAGAGTTAATTATATATTTTTTTATAATACTTTTAAAACATTATTAATTTTTGTATTATTCAGATATCTTTTCATTACATTAATCATTCTTAATTTCATACACTTCTCTTTCTCACTCTTTTTTTGTTGTGTATGAATGTAATTTCTCCCATATATAAGTTCTTAAATTTAATCTAACGGCTATAATTAGTTTTTTTCATTCTCACATAATCTCTATATATATAAATCAAATTATATCTTTGAATTATTAGGATTAATTTAATGGTGAGAGAATTAAAGTAATATACACATAATTTTATGTTTGAATCTTATTATTTTTTTGTAATTTTTATAAATAAATAAATAAATTATAACTTTATCTACAAGTTGTTTATGTAAGTAATATTGAATACGATGTTTCTAAATAAAACTCTACGTCTAAATCTTATATATAAAAATATAATTGAAAAATGACACCATACTAAAAAATAATAGGCAAAAAATTTCACGACAAAAACTAACCACTAACCATCATTAAAGCTGAAAACAAAATATGAACTAATAAAATAATTATCATCGGTCAACAAATAGTATTCATATTTAAGGAAAATAATAATCATGTATCCACTTTCTCATTCATCACGTTTTTCACGAACACTCTCTTTCCAATTTTTATTTATTTTTTATCACCAATCATCATTTCACACACTTCACTCTCCTTTTCTTTTATTACAGTTTATTTTCTCCTTATCCTTCTATTTGTATATTAATAATTTTGTCGTTTTGTAAGGAAATTGTTTAATGAATTCAAAGTCTCCTCTATAAATAAACCAAATTAGCTTTGTGAATGGTGTCCAAAAGCCAAGAACCAGTTGTGATACATACTAAAACATACTGAATAACATATTCATCGTTAAGCAAAGCAAAACCCCACATGGCGGATCTCACGATCTTCAATTCAGAATCCGATGAAGACGCTTGGGTGATCCAAATCAACCAATTAGTGAGTGAAACCAACCTCTCAATCTTGAACAAAATGCCTGTTTGCATATACCAAGTCCCAAAATCTTTGAGTTGTGCCAAACCAGAAGCCTTTGCCCCACAACTTATAGCAATTGGTCCATACACACACTTTCGCCCCCAACTCTATCCCATGGAAAGGTTCAAAGTTTTTGCAGCAAAAGGGGTCCTCGACCACTTCAAAAAACACGACCTAAAACAACTAGTTGAGCAACTCCGAAACACAGGACCCTTCATCCGTGCTAGTTACCACAAATACTTGGACTTCAAGGAAGATACCTTGCTATACACCATGGCCATTGATGGTTTGTTCTTGTTGGATTTCTTCCACAATTATCTGAATGACCAAGTATCTGGTTCCTTCATGAGAGGAATAGAAGAACAAGTTCAGATAAGTGGTGTGAAGCTAACCAAGCATGCCATCATAAGGGACATCATCATGGTGGAGAATCAAATTCCAACCTACATGTTGATGAGGATCTTGGTGCTTGCAAGCTCCATACCTGTTGATTCAGTTCAAGAATACTTGGGTTCAATGCTCTTGTCATTCTGTAAGAAACACTCTCCATTCAAGCTACCTCACAGTACCCCTACATGTTCGGAAGTTGTCACCAACCACTACCATGTGCTGGACCTCATGTACCATTTGGTGGTCTCTCACAAGGAAACAACACCAACACCTGATGAAACCGAAGGTGTTTGTAAACTCCAAGGTAATAATAACAATGACTCTACCACTGCCACCGACGCTTCTAAGAAAAACTCAAAAGCTGAAGGCTCAGCAACTTCATTTAAGAAAGTTAAAATTGTATTAAAATGGACACTAGACTCCATGAAAAAGCTGAAGGACGTGAATATTCCTATTCTTCAACCCATTAAGAAACACCTTGATCCAATACTCCACGTGTCCTCTCAACTTGAAAGTCTTTCACCACAGCAACAACTTTCTGAAGAAGAAGAAGAAGCTCCTATGATTGTTACCATCCCTTCTGTGTGCGAGCTTCATTCAGTTGGGGTGTGTTTTCAACCCTCAAAAGATGGCATCATGACCATTGAATTTGACCAAAAAAAGGGCATATTTTATCTTCCTGTGCTCAAATTGGATGTGAACTCCGAAGTGATAATGAGAAACCTTGTGGCTCATGAGGCCTTGACCAAACCAGATTTTCTCATCTTCACTAGGTACACTGAATTGATGCGTGGAATCATAGACACTGTGGAGGATGTGAAGCTGCTCAAGAACGCAGGGATCATAGAGTCAAGTAGCACTCTCAGTGTGGAAGAAAGTGAGGAATTGTTCAATGGAATGAGCAAATCCATTGGACCAACCAAAACTGAGAAATTGGATGAGACTATTAAGAAGGTCAACCATTACTACCATGTTAAGAGGAAGGCCAACATCTACAGGACCTTAACCGATTATGTGTACTCTTCATGGAAGCTTTTCACACTTCTCGCCACTTTTGGGCTCTTAGCCATGACAGCACTTCAAACGTTTTGCTCCGTTTATGATTGTCCCGGGTATTTTAGACCCAAATGAGGTTTGTTATCATTTTTTCTTGGCAATATTCCTTTGGTGCAAGTATTATTTAGAAAGTATCAATGTCTCCCTTTGATTAGGACCATTCAAATGATATTATATGTAATTTTTATTAGACTTATTATTTTATAAGTTTCAATTTTTATAAATTAGTCCGTCATTAATTTATTACATTTTGAAGAATAGTCGTACATTACTTACAAGTCTCACTCTTTTCGACCAATGTTACTAGTGTGATCGATGAAATTAAGATCGAACGGTAAATGTGAGAACGTGTAGAACAGATCTAAGAATCAAAATCAAGCCATTATGTTAGAGAGAGAGAAGGATAAGATAGTGTTAGTATACCGTCTTGGGTGACGAGGAGGTAATCAGAGACACAGAAGGTGACATGATGATGAAGGAGTTGGCACTCGTCAAGGGAGGAGCCGTGGTTGGGGTGGCGGTGGTAGCGGTTGAGAGGGTGGTAGAGGGCGAAGTGGGTGCGGAGGAGGGTGGGGGCGTGGCCTTTGGAGCCAAAGATGAGGTAGGCGAGGATGAGAAATGTTTTTGTGAGATAGAATAAGAGAAAAAATGTTTTTGTGGGAGAGAATGAAATCAAAAGGTTAGAGACATGTAAGTAATATGAGACTATTATCCAAAATGTGACAAATTAATGACAGATTAATTTGTAAAAATTGAAATTTATAAAATAATAAGTCTAATAAAAATTACGACATCATTTAAATGGTTCTAAATAAAGGAGACATTAATATCCTCTAAATAGAATTTGAAATTGTCTTTCTTCGTTAGCAAGTATAGTTTATATAATGAATGGTTATGGTTTCGAGTGTATGATGCTTCTATAAAAGTATATATAGCGCATGATATGCCTTCGTAGCAATGTTGTAAAACTTGTAATATGTATGCTTGATGTTATCCGACTGAAACCATTTTTTTTTATGATTTCTATTTGTCATACGTGATGTCTGCATATTTTTCCATTGCAAACAAAACCATTATAGCATATAAGTTATGAAACTGGAACCGTAAAGTAGCTTACTCGATTCATAAATTAAATGAGTTCAAATTCACAAGAAATTATGCTGTGAGATAATAGCATTCTCTATATATATGAGAATTAAAAATATATAAAGTATTTGTATAATTATATTAGAAACATAAATTTTAAACTTTAATGTGATATTTTATTCATATTTTTGAATGGTAAAACGATTAACATTTTTATTACGTGCATTTCACTTCAAAAAATGCATATTGATAATCTGAAGTTACGTCGAGGTAGGAACAATGATGAAACTAGGTAAGCTACTATCTCTCTATTTTATTTGCAAGATTAAAAAGAATGTTGCCTTTTTTGTTTTTGCAGTATGGACCACAATAAATAGATGATATGTTACGTTTTGTTTAACTTTGTAAGGACAATAATTAAGGTTGTCACATTAGACAATCATGTCAACGATTATTTGTTTTGAGCAGAAAATTAATGTTAGAATTATATTCTTTGTTTTGACTTTTCTCAACAATATATTAATTCTTTGGCTAAAGAAAGTATCCAACAATTTGGGGGATTGGAATAAAATACACAGAGTTCTAGGTTCAAAATTTGATATTATCATTATAATTTTAATGGATAGAAAATGTAATTAGACGTTAACTATTTAATTGTGTTTAACTTTAAACATTTTTTATTCTACTTTGAACTTTGCCAAGCATTTTTTTAACGTTATTTGGTTATATTTAAATCTAATAAGAAAAATATAATAATTTAGATTCACATGTCATTTGCTTTTGTGACGTTCAATATAATTTGAGTATTATTTTAGAGACTATAATGGTTCCTCGACGATCATGAAGATTCACCACAAAATGATAAGGTGTACGCACAAGTTGATTCCTATGATTAGGGATGTGAGGGACTGGCCAGGTACGGGTACCAGTGTCCAGCAGTCGTCTCTTTTTTTTATTATATTGAATAAATATTTGTCTCATATTTATTTTTATATTTATATATTTATGTGGATATTATACTCACATATTTTTTTTAATATTTATAAATATTTGTAGATATTTAATTAAAAATAAATATTATTTAAAAAACATTTTAATAATAATTTTTATTATTTATTTTAATTATTTCTTTAAAAATACTAGTTTAAAAATTTAAATTTAAATTATTTAAATATTATACATAATTTTATTAATCAAGATTTTTAAATTTTAAAATTAAATATAATTGTTAAAGCACCTTGTTTAATAAATTTAAACAAATTTAATATATAATTATGTAATTGAATAATATTAATGGATAGTAGTATAAATGCTGTAATATGTGGGTATAGAAAATAATTATACCTATTACTATATATACTCATTTATAATATTTATTTTCTATTTATAACAAATTTTATGTGCATGTGATTGATATAAATACAAATGAATGAACACTAAAGTGGTGAAAATGCGGGGTGAGAAAAATGTTGAAACTTATGAAGAAATCATCACAAGGATAAAAGGAAGAAAACTTTTGCGGTAGATGGGATCAGTTCAAAGAGGTCTTAATGTAAAGCCTGATTCTAACGCCCAATTTATATAATAATAATTATA